ACTGGGATCAGGATTGGGATAATGGGACTGGGACTGGGATTGGGGTCAGAACTGGGACTGGGACCAGGATGAGGATCGGGACTGGGATTTGGACTGGGACTGGGATTTAGGCTGGAACTGGAACTGGGATCAAGATTGGGATAATGGGACTGGAACTGAGACTGGGATCAAGACTGGGATCAGGACTGGGATAATGGGACTGGGACTGGGATTGGGATCAGGACTGGGATTAAAATGATGGGACTGGGACTGAGACCAGGATTGGAAATGGGATCGGGACTGGGACTGGGATTGACACTGGGATTTGGACTGGGATCAAGATGATGGGACTGGGATTGAGATCAGGATTGGAACTGGAATAACGGAACTGGGATTTGGATTGGGACTGGGACCAGAACTGGGACTGGGACCAGAACTGGGACTGGGATTTAGGCTGGGACTGGGATTTAGGCTGGGACTGAATTCATTCCCCCCTTTCTCTCCCGGGTTTGAATTTCCCTTTTCCCTCCGGATTTCACCCAAATTCTGCTCTGGGGCTCCCCTCCCACTCAACCCCACCCAGCCGAATAAAATTAAAAATAAATTAAAAATTCAAAATAAACCGGGATTTTTTGGGGAGGCTCAAATGTGAGAATCTGAGGAAAGAAAACACCAGAAATGACCGAAATTAAAAAAAAAAAAACAACTTCGGAATATGGGGAGGGAAAAAACCATCAAGAGTGGCCGAAATTCTGAAAAAAATTCTCGGAGAATTTGAGGGAAAAAAAATTCATTAAGAGCGACTGAAATTCCGATAAAAATTCTGAGAGAATTTGGGATAAAAACCACGAGAAACGCCCGAAATTAAAGAAAAAACCCCCCAAAAAAACTCGGAAAGAATTCGCGGATAAAAGACACGAGAAATGATCGAAATTTCAAAAAAAAAAAAAACCTCATCGATTTTAGGGCTAAAAACCACCAGAAGTGGCGGAAATTCCAAAAAACCTCAGAATTTGGGGGAAAAACCATCGAGAATGACCGAAATCCCAAAAATCCCTCCTCGAATTTCGAACCTAAACCCCACCAGCAGTGTCGGAAATCGCAAAAAAAATCCGAATTTAGGGATAAAACCATCGAGAACGCCCGAAATTCTCAAAAAAACCTCATCGAATTTGAGGTTAAAAACCACCAGAAGTGTCGGAAATCCCAAAAAACTCTCAGAATTTAGGGAAAAACCATCAAGAATGACCGAAATCCCGAAAAAAACTCATCGAATTTGAGGTTAAAAACCACCAGAAGTGACGAAAATCCCCCAAAAATCCGAATTTTGGCATAAAACCATCGAGAATGACCGAAATTCTCCAAAAACCTCAGAATTTAGGGAAAAACCATCAAGAACGCCAGAAATTCCCCAAAAAACGTCCTCGAATTTCGAACCTAAACCCCACCAGAAGTGTCGGGAATTGCCCCAAACCCTCAGAATTTGGGGGGAAAACCATCAAGAATGACCGAAATCCCAAAAAAACCGCAACGAATTCGAGGTTAAAAACCACCAGAAGTGACGGAAATCCCAAAAACCTCTCGGAATTTTGGGATAAAACCATCGAGAACACCCGGAAATCCCCAAAAATCCCTCCTCGAATTTCGAACCTAAACCCCACCAGCAGTGTCGGAAATCCCAAAAAACTCTCAGGATTTTGGGATAAAACCATCGAGAACGCCCGAAATTCTCAAAAAAACCTCATCGAATT